TCCATAAATATGGGTTCCAAAACACAAACTTTTGGAGTACGGACATGCCTAGGGAATGACGTTATGGGTAATTTAAAAGGAATTTAAGATGTTTTAAAAATAATAAAAAAAATATAAATAGGTGATGAATAAAACACATTGCGAGCTGTTATTTAACAATTTTGGAATAAAATATTAACAAATATTCCATGTGAAATGTGGCGCGGACTAAGAGTTGACATATTTTTGTGGAATGACCCATATATTGCTATAGTCTGTCTAAAATAATAGTTTAAAGGTGATTTAAAAAGAAAAACTAACAAATGTTTCATTGATGTATTTAGTCTTACTAATAATTTGTTAAAAATTTGATAAATTTTAAAAAATACAATTACGATGCAGAAGTTATTTTTGGTTCTTTTAAAAGTTTTATTACATCTTAAGGATAGGGAATACTAATGGAATGCTATTCTGGGAACTGCTTGAAAACATATTATGGGTATTTTTAAAATTCATAAAAATTGACAGTTTTGCAATATTTTGTTTAGGTGACGCAGTTTGACGCAGCTAATTTTGGTGTCATATGAAAACCATAGATATGTTCTTTCGAAATATGTAAAAGAAACGGGTTGATCGCGCTTGATCATGAACTTTTTCACCGTTTCAAAAAAATAAACTGTTAAAATATAGACTTCTATTCAAACCTATATATCTATAACATAGTAAGTAATGTAGACTGTTTAGTAATACAGAAATAATAAACTAACCTGGAAGTATAGAATCCATATGTTTTTTACCAAATATTAACTAAATAAAAGTTAAACGTTGTTGTTAAACAAGAGCTAAAATTATAATAAATTACTCAACAAGAAAAACTGTTTAAATCAAATGTTGTGGGTATCTGGATAAAAAGTGTTAAACTTTTTAAATATCATTTATAGATGGCTCCATATGTCTTGTTCCTATATTAGGTTACTAATTTAGAATCGGAGTAACTTTGCTTTTTTTAATATTGGCCACAAATAACGTACATTTCACCTGTGTGTGTCGTGAGGACGTTTGAAGTAAACTCACACTAGGCCCTCGCGCAGTGTAGGGTTCCGTAGTTTTCCGTCGTAACCGTTCCGTCACAATACATATATTATTTCAGAAGCAAGCAATTACTTCATCTAAAGTCACTTTTAATATTTTCTTCTAAGGAATTTTTACTAGTTAATAAATTTTATAATACATGAGTCAAATGACTATATTACTCTTAAACTAACTGATGTTTCTTAACCGTTATAGTTTTCCTTGAAAGTTCATGAAAAGCAGTATTATTACGAATTTTTCCAGATTTTTCAAGCCAACAGTTTAGTTTTTAGATGGGGGGGGGGGACTTACTCGATTAAAAATTGGCACTTACAAATCCCTAAATGGAAAAATAGTCTTAGAAACCCCTAAGCCATTTTGACTTAGATTAAGACCTATCCAACGATACCCCACACGATGGAGTAGAAGATGAAAAAAAATTTCATCCCCACTTTACATGTAAAGCTACCCTAAAAATATTTTTTCAAAATTTTATTTTAACGTTTTGTCGGCGTGATTAATATACATACCTTCACAAAATTACAGCTCCCTAGCCTAGTGCCAATAGTTTCCAAGCAAAACCTCGGACAAGACTACGGAACCCTAAAAAGACCACCCCAGAACACTACTTACTATAGGTATCCTAATTAGAGAAAAGTTCTCGAGTGGCGACCTCGAGCCGGAAGACGTAGCGTAGGTAGGCCTTCCAGGTGGACCGACGATCTGGTGAAGGCCGCGTGAGGTGCCTGGATGCGGGCGGCGCAGGACCGGTCTTTGTGGAAAACCTTGGGGGAGGCCTTTGTCCAGCAGTGGACATCTTTCGGCTGAAACGACGACGACGACGAACCAAATTATTACAGCAGTTAGACGCTAAAAGCGGCGTCCGACGTCGGCATCAAAGTTCCTGTTGACTTCTGAACGTCGCCTGCGACGCCAACGTCTGACGAAGTACCTACTACGTTACTACATAACATAGTAAATACAAATGAGTAGGTAGGTCATTTTCATAGAAACGCACCGAACGCGGTTTGTATGTGAGCGCGCGCCTAGGGTTGCCAGGTCTTGTCCGGCCAAATTATGGCTTGTCCGGCTTTTTATGTGGCTGCCGCACCAGGCGAAAGTCGAGCTACAAGCGCACGCGTCAGGTTATTGGGCGATAATGATAGTACTCACTCGAGAGCTATGACGGCTTTTAGGGTAAAATGTCCGGCCAAATGAAGCACAGAGTCCGGCTTTTGTGTTTTTGGACCTGGGAACCCTACGCGCGCCAATACGCAGGCGGCGCGCAAACACACACACTGACAAAATTCAGCGCACTTCACCGCTAATAATCAACGCTAAAGTTTGTCAGTGTGTGGCGTGTGCGTGCGCGCCGCATACGTATTGGCGCGCTCACATACAAACCGCGCTCGGGCGTTTCTATGAAGATGACCTACTCATTTGTATTTACTCTGGTTACTATCAGGGATGTTATGGATATCCGTAACCCTACACAATCAACAAAAACTTCTCAACATTTGAATGTTTTTGTTGTGTAGGGCAAAGTGGACACGCGCTGGAAAAGTGGAGACCTTTACAAAAACAAGGGAGCATCGAAAATACATTTATAGGTAGGTAAGTCTAAGTAAGTATGTAGGTACCTACGTACTTACTTGTATTTTGTAGAACTAGTTAGGCCTACAAAATCTTTTTGCTTTCGTTACATAGTCAAACCTGGATAAGTAAGAAAAGTCTCTAAGCGACAATAATAGTCAGGTCCCGTCATTCCGAATACCTCTATGAGTGACAGTGTAGAAAATTCTTTGTCTTGTCCGGCCAAATATTGGCTAGGCTTTTGTTAGGCTTTTCATGTGGCTGCCGCGCCAGCCGAAAGTCAAGCTACTTACAGCTAGTATCAAGCGCACTCATGATGATGTTAGGCAACCGATGATAATAGTACTCACTCGTGAGCTATAACACTAATCGTACCCCCCCCCCGTGACATGTCCGGCTTTTATGGTAAAATCACAGAATAAGTAATAGTACAGGTACAGAAGGATTACTCCGCAAGACGATTTAAATAAACGCGAGTCTTGCTACGACGCGATACAGTGGAATTCAGCTCGCACAGCACTACGTACCTACAATTTTATTCACCTACAAGTTTTGTCTCTTTCTATCGCGTGCCTCTGAACTCTTCTTACGCTGTTAGGGTTGCTGTCTAGTGAAAAAATAATTAATCTATTTATTTGTAATGAGGTACGTATGTAGGTAAGTATGCATTCATTATGGAAAACCTTGGGAGAGGCCTTTGTCCAGCAGTGGACGTCATTTGGCTGAAACGAACGAACGAATTCTGAACAGTAGTCATGGTAGGTTAGGTTCCTATACTATCCTAAGAATTATTGATTACCTACATGGCCAACATACCTTTCAGCATCTTTGGGAAGCAAAAAAAAAAAGATAAATCCGGTAGATTTCTTTTCGAATTTTAACACCCGAACGCCGCACAATATTTCTTTCTCTTTATGTCAATTTTTAAATAATACTTCGATCATAGAATTATAATCATACTACAACGCACGCCAGCGTCCTGACGGGCGCGCGCGTGACACTCGACTGATTTAATACCCGCCGGCGGGGCGCTTCGCTGTAGGTAATTATCGGATGTACTGCGCGGAGTGAGCCAGGCCTGGTAAAATGTCCGGCCAAATGAAACCAACCCTATCTGTAAGTTTTTTACTTTAAACCTCTGTAAGCGAGATTATTATAAGTAGGTGGTAACATTTCAATAGACAGTTTGTTTACTGATAAACGAAGCGATCATGTGCAATTAATATTACCTAGTAAGAAAAAAGTTCAAAATAGCCAGACACTCAGGCAAAGCTGATTTATTTTCACTTATTAAAAAAAAAATTGTTTGTTTGCGCTTAATTTTTTTTTTCATTTTTTTTTTAGGATAGTACATTAGTAGAGCTAACCTCCCCTATCAGTTTGATTCACCCATTCTGGGACACCCTGTAATGAGAGTAACTACTCCCAAACCTTCGTGAGTGACACTGCTTTAGTGACAAACCTCTTTAACTATGTATCTATAAGTGAGAATAACATTCAGGTCCCTTGGATTCTCGCTTACCCAGGTTCGACCTTATACGATGATAATTATGTATTTCAACACAACGTATCACTTATTTCATGTTACCTAGGTAGGTCTAGGTACCTACCTTCCAAACTCATTGCAAAAACAACAACAGAGGAAAAATTTATGACTAACTCTTGATTACCATAACGTCGCCACTACACTACTCGCGAAATTGATCGAAGAACTCGTAGATAATGTAAGCACACACTTCACTTGTGCTCTTCTTCATTATCCTGAACTCTTGGGTTAATAAGACCACTTCAAATAAGTATAGGAAATTTTCTCTAGTTTTAGTTTTCCTAAGCATGTTTTATCAAAAAAATAATCCGAAAGGAACTGAAAGATATCAAAACGTTCAAAATGTGTGGCTGTACACAAGCAAGCACTATAGGTACACGAGCCATTGTTCTCTTTTATGATAAGTATTGTTAATAATAAGGTTACATTTTGAAATAATCACTGATAATGTGTTTAATTTACCACTTTTACCTCACCTGTCGGTAATTATTCATAATAACCGGTTATTATTCATAATTTTCAATTTATCACATTAACCGTAACAGATATACAAAATTGCGTACACGAGGTGTGGATAGGCGTTCGGACTTCGGCTAACTTCGTCGATAGCAGTCAAAGCTAGTTGTTTAGTTGAGGCTTAAAGCGAGATAAAGACGCTAGACGTGAACATTTTGCTAAATCACCAGATACTGAGCAAACGTTATCAATCCTTTTTTCATACGCCACCATCGGTAAGTTAAAAAGAGATAAACAGTTGTTTGTCATTAATGTCCATTTGGTGTAATTTAATATATTATATTTAAAGCAATTTTTTATTTACCTCAGTACGGCTCCAGTTATTTAGTATAACATTAGAATCGAACCTATTAACATCGAAGTCCATTGTTTTTTTTAATTTAATAATGTTTTCATTTTGGTAAGTCGCTATCTGTACCTACCTACTGTGTGATTATCATAATAAATTAGCTAGTGAACGGGACTATTCCCACCTCTCGTTCCTACCGCTGCAACTCCTGTGTAGCCAGGATCTACAGACCGCCAATTGGCATAGAGATAGTTAGAGTCCCGGGAAAGGACATAGGATAGTTTTCATCCCGGTTTTTGAAACAGGGACGCGCGATAAAGTTTTTCTGTGACAGACAAAATTCCACGCGGGCGGAAAGCTAGTAGAAAGAAAAAGATCGAAGTTAAGGTTCGACTTCCCTTTTTTGCAAAGCAATAGCTTAGTATCTACAACTGGGAAAGTATGTGATAAATACGCGTCGCCACTAATGGCAATCGGGATTATTTTTCCAATCCTCAATGGTGACAACCGGTAAAAGATGTTTCAGTTGATGGTGATTCAGTTGATTTCTGTAAAGATAATTGCGTGTATTATTAGAATACTAAACTCTGATTTTTAATTCGACGGAATTTTGACATTTCAGAAGTGTTTCCAACATTGAAACATTCCCACTAAGGATGGAGAGCATTTTCACAAATTAAAAAATAATCCTTTCTTGAATTTAAGGTTTCACTTAAAAAACTAAGGCTTAAAAATGTACTGATCATTTCAAAATGGTTATTTGAATTTTTATTATCATATTTTAGAAGTTACAAAAAAAATTGGGAAATTATTTTTTTATTACTGGACTCCCTGGCCAATAATCCATGGGTTACAAACCTTTTTTATGAAAATCCTTTTGTTACTAAAATCTTAGCTTCATAAAATAAAAAATTTAACAAGATGCCAATTAATTTTATAATCCAAGTTGATTATGATGACGATAATGATGATTGATGATCAATACATTTTTCGTTTATGTTAATATGTTGTTTTACTGTGTTAAAAACACGTTTTTTTATATTTAATCTCTAAAATGTACATAATAATTAGTGTACATTGAATTCACGAAACAAACAATAGTTCATTCTTGTAAGTTGTAGTTGATGAAATTTCATTTCATATTATTTATTAATAATTCAAAGCCAAAAAAGGCTTATTACATCTGAATTGTCAAAAAATGACAGCTGTCAGAATTCCGTCGAATTAAAAATCGGACTATAGCGTTTTTACCATGCAGGTAACTTTCGGAGGCTCGTAAATAAGATCATAGTTACAGGGTGTCCCAAAAACTATTGTCAAGCCGAAGCCCAAAGGTAGAGCAATGCCGTTCTAGTTCTTTTGAAAAATAAAGGAATGTTTTCTTTGAGCTTTTCTATCTACAGTATTAAGAGTAGGTACTTTCCCTCCAGGTGGCATTACACAATTCCACCCTGTATACTGTGTTATATGTATACGAGCCTCAGATCCTGATGGCAGGTACACTCAGCATCAAATAATTCGCGACACCCAAAGCGGCCAAAAAGTTGACAACCTTAATCCAATTCTAACAGACGAACTTTTTGGTTAATTAGGGTGACCCGAACTACACTGCAGGTCATCACAAAAATCGACCCTCCCGCGACAAGCACTTTCAAACGTAGATGTGCATTCCCACTTCCCACAAATGTTGGCACCATTTGAAAACCTATTACTAAAGTTCATTAATTTCATTAAAGGAAAGGTTTTTACCCCAAAAATGTGTCTTTAGAAGGATCCAGAGTCACTTCTTCAAAAAATAGGTAGATACGCTTGAGCCAACTTTTATGGTTTTAATACTGTTAAGTTGAGATTATTCGCTATCCATCTGTTAAAGAGGACACGTGAGATCATTATTTGGTTTTATAACCATAAAAATTGGTCTAATTGATCCCAAAAGTGAGCCCAAAGTTAGGTCTTTTTTCAAGTCACATTTATAGTATAATATGTTAATCGTTTATTAAGAAATTAAATGTGTTTTTCTTTATGGATATTTATTGGGCTTTCAAATAACACCAATATTGTTGAGGCACCATAATTGTGTCAGTAGAAACGAGTTTTCCTGTAAAACGTAGGTGGGCCGATTTTTGTGATGACCTGTGTAAGTATTACACGCTGACTGTACATGGTAAACGCGCTAGTGTAGTAGTTTAAATTGTTATTTGTTCTAGTACTGCCGTGAACAGCTTGGGTCAGAGTGGGCCACCTTGTCTGACCCCCCTCTCTATCAGGAAAGCATCTCCCGTTTCCAGCATCCCACGAGCGTCACATTGGTCGTATATATTTCTGATTGTGTTTACGTAAGTATTTTTGATCCCATGCTCTTTTACTTTACCATACAAATTAATGTTTGAGGATATCGAAAGCCTTTGAGTAATCTATGCTATAGTCTGGTCCTGGTGTTGCTGTTGCTCGCACACTCACTGCGGGCGCCCGTCCCACAGTCGCGACCAGCAATATAATAGACAATGTTGACACCACCACTCAATTGACGTACTTTTTAAAACTGTCAAAACGAAACTCCCGATTTTGTATGGCATTACAAGCAAGTGACGTCACTATTTTGTCAACTCAATCAAACTACTTTTTTCAATTTTACAATGCGAACAAAAATCGTAATTTACAGGTAATTTAACATGAATTAAGTTTTTAAGACCAGAATGAAGGGTTTTTTAAAACAGTTGTGGTTTCGAATTATTGGGGTATGGTGTCAAACTGTCTATTACGCGTGAGCGATAAGGATGGGTAGCTTGGGGTCATTGGACAAAATTCTACGTGCTCGCAGACCAGACTATAGCTACCTACATAAATAAATAACTTGAAACATTTTCAATGATTTCAGATCATGCTGCCTAGTCGAGGGTGCGTCTGTTGGCGCTGGAACTCACATTGGTAGCAATAGTATGATTAGTCCAGATTCCCGTATTGGGAAAAATTGTAATATTGGCGACAATGCCATTATAACGAATTCACGAATTGGTGACGGTTGTACCATTGCAAGCAACGCGGTTATCAGAAATTCACAAATTGGCAATGGTTGCAATATTCGAGAAAATTTCGTTATCACAAATTCAAATATTGGGAACGCTTGTACTATCGCTAATAATGTGAACATCGTGGGCAGTCGTATTTTGAACAACGTCGTTATTGAAGATAATAGCAAGATTACGAACTCGTTCATTGACGATAATTCAGTCATTCCAGTTAATTCTGTAGTGATAAATCAACAGTAATTGTTACCTTTAGGCTAAAAAGTTAGAAAATAAAATTATTAATGTCACAGAGTTGGTCATGAGTACGGACATTAAACTGAAACACAAGCGCGCCACCTAGCGGCAACGATAAAATAAACACTAAGAACTAAGTGAACTAAAATGTGTCTACTTATTATTAAAATTGTTCAAACACAAGTGTTATTCTCATTGATATTGACGATCCGAATCCGATATACAGGGTGTCCCTTTACAACCCGATCGAGCTTACTGCGCATCTCGCTGGAATGTTCGGGAAGCTTCGCGAAATTCTCACGTCCGAAATACCGCAGTGTCTCAAGTCAAAAGTATTTGACCAGTGTGTGTTGCCAGTGATGGTGTATGGCTCTGAGACGTGGTCGCTTACTATGGGCCTCATAAGAAGGCTCAAGGTCACCCAAAGAGCGATGGAGCGTGCTATGCTCGGAGTTTCCCTGCGTGATCGAATCAGAAATGAGGAGATCCGTAGGAGAACCAGAGTGACTGACATAGCCCGCAGAATCGCTAAAATCAAGTGGCAGTGGGCGGGGCACATAGCTCGAAGAGCTGATGGCCGCTGGGGCAGGAAAGTTCTTGAGTGGCGACCACGAGCTGGAAGACGTAGCGTGGGCAGGCCTCCCACTAGGTGGACCGACGATCTGGTGAAGGTCGCGGGAAGTACCTGGATGCAAGCGGCGCAGGACCGGTCTTTGTGGAAATCCTTGGGGGAGGCCTTTGTCCAGCAGTGGACGTCTTTCGGCTGAAACGAGGTCATCTTCATAGAAACGCCTATTTTTTAAATATCGGCAACTAAAAAGTATCATCTAACAGCTAACTTACGAAGTTTGACCTTTCATCATCAGCTCACCTAAAAAACCTGACAATACAACTTTATGTACTACATACGTACCTAAAATATTTAAAGAATCATTCTCCAACTCTTAACCGTTAAGGAGTTTTACCTTCCATCATCACCTCATCAACATTAGATGATGACTACCAGACGCATATACTTGAATAACTTTAGAATAAATATGAAAAACTTCCCATCATCAGATCCTGACTTGGTGCAATGGGACCACCTCAGAAGTGTACCCTATTGCCAATTTTTTTTTGCCAAGGAACCCTAATTGATTATACTTTTCCTAGCGGAACCCCCGTACTAATCCGCCCGCACGCCCTGCCCCTCCCTTGTGCGTAAACAAGTCGGTGCGAGCGAACAATGTCGGTCACGAAACGTGGGATAATATTTTTTACGGAACCCTTGCGGCCTTTCCACGGAACCCCAGGGTTCCGCGGACCACCATTCGGGAACCTTTATCGTTAACCGGTGTTTTTTGTATGGAGTTTGACAGATTTTTGACGTTTGTCAAAATTAAAGTAACATGATGCAACCTTATTATAGATGACCCACGCTGAACTGTCCCGCCAAACTCAATGACAGGGGGGCGCTACCATCGTTCAACTTTATGGTTTCCAACATGGCAAAAATCGGAACCAGCGATTCGGTATTGACGGTGGCGCCCCGCTGTCAATGTCATCGATAGGACAGTTCAGTATTTTGGAACTATATTTTAATTGTGAAAAACATAATAAAAAATACGTGCCAAATATTTTCTTAGTTCTGACGGGCAAATAATTTAAATTTTGTCATCTAGCTACCCTATTTGTTGTAGTGCACCCATCCTAATTTTTCCCTGTGCTGCTAGCAAAAATTTTTAATTGCCTTACGATTACTAATGTAAGGAATGAATTAAATAAAACATTATCGTAACTTAATCAATTTAATATGATTAAAAATATCTATTACGCGGTGTTTTACGTCAGACACGCGAAACGACACAGGCGTCATTTGCCACGAGACGACCGTTCGCCACGACGCGACGCGTCGCGACGAATATTTAAAGCCACGATAGCCGAATGGTGAAGGGGTCGGACTGGCCGACTCGTGATCCGGGGAACGCGGGTTCGGTCCCCGCCGCCGCTCGACTATCGTGGTGAGCTCACTCGTGATACAAGCATATTTAGCTTTATACGAGGGGCTAACGGGACTATTAAATGTATGTTAAATAATAGTAAATGAATGTTAAAAAGAAAACAAACCTATGTACGCAGCAAAGCAATCGTAGTTTTTTTAAAGGTTCGGCCAAATCAACGCGTGCAGCCGGAGTGCACAATAGCGATGGCGATCAGATTTAAACGCATTGATCGCCATCGCCATCGCGCACGCAGGCTGATTGCGTTGGGTTGGCTGAATCTTGTCTAGCAGCGCGATCCAAGATCCTTTGGCTCACATCTCGTAGCAGCATGACAAACTACCCTCACCGCGTCGTGTCGCTGACGTCTCACAACGCGATGTACACAATAATATTCAGCCTTATCCATATACTCTATCATTAATATAATGAAATAATGTATACTCGTAATACGTTCTCTGTAATAATTCAAACAAATGTACACAAGCAGTGGTTTCATTACATTTCATAATAAAATTAATCGCATAATGTGTACATTCAGACCCACCAAGGCGGAGCGGAGAAGTTTCGGGCCTAGGGTACCTACTGTTTTGAATAGCATTATACTGTTTTTCACTAAATTATACTTTTTACTGTTGAACAAAAATAAAGTATACAAAATACTGTTTTTAGCAAGCATCACTAGAAGTAAATGCACAAACATTTAGGTAGGTACGCGATACACCGATTTGGTATCGGCCTATTCTTCATACAAATTAAAATCGGGCCCAACTAGGTACTGGCCAACTGAAAGTCTAGGCTTAGGATTAAAAACCGTCGGAAAATATTGTAAAAGCAGTAGAACCACGATTTTGCCAATGGTACGTAAATAACTTCAACAAAGTTACAGGGTTTTTGAGTCATATATGTATATGACATCTTCTAGTTGCGAGATTCAAATGGAATTAATGAGGGCTATCGTTTTTATACTTAACAGTTGGCACCCCTGGCGATTGACAGGACCTTACTCTACAGTGGCGCCATCTTGATGAGTGCAAATGCGATAGTCCTCCTACCACTTTAGTGCTAACCAGTTGGTGCCACTGTCTTCGCTACTAGCAAGTGACAGGACCTTACTCTACAGTGGCGCTAACTGGTGAGCGCTAAAACGATGGCCCTCATTGCGTTTGGCTCTTCAAATAAATAAATTATTTTGCCTCCATCATTATTATCACTAAGTATCATTAAGGCTGAATTGCACAACCTAACTTTGACCGTAACTTTAACGATAACCGGTGCTTTTTGTTTGGAGTATGAGACTTTTGATGTTTGTCAAAGTTCAAGTAAGATGGTGAAACCCAACCTTATTATAAATAAAAATAATACTCATATAATTTTATTTCTTATTTAGCAATTTCTGCTTCTTATACATTGATTGAAAGGGGGCGTCCATAAATTACGTGAGACAATTTTGGCTATTTTTCAACCCCCCCGCCCCCCTTGGTGAGATTTGGTGAGATTTTGCCTGACCCCCTCCCCCACCCCCAAATCTCACGTGATATTAAAAAAAATCCGAAATTTAATGGAATCCGAAGTTTTGGAGTAATATTAAACATTTTTTTTGTGTGCTTTAACGTTGTTGCTAACGAGTGCATCAAAAAGATATATAAAGTTTAAGATTTTAGTTCTTGAAAGTATCTGCTAGGGACGCTGTACAATCATCATACATTTAATGTAGGGGAGAGTTCGGTATATTGTACCGCCGGGTAAATTGTACCACCCTCATATTTCGTAAAGTATTTATTGAATGTCTGTAATTGCAACACTCAGCGATACACAACTAAATTCAATTAATATCGGCCATGTGGTTTTTGCCGTGACAACGAACACGTGTGTTTTATTTTGAAAAGTATTTTTTCATTGTTTTCAAGTAATTTTTGACAATGCATGTTTAATTTGTAATTTTGTTAAATTTAATCACAGAGTGTTTCTAATATATTATTTAGAAGCGTAAATTAGTGTGGATTACAATTATTTGAAACATTTTTCGGTATTTATAAGCTATATTTTTTACCGATTTTTTAAAAGCACTATCACCTAGTCGGCTAAATTGTACCACATCAAGTTGTATGTGGGAGTGCGCACACTACGCCGATTCGATTTGGCCCAGTAGCGGCGTAAGGGGGGGGCGGTGGGGGCGGTCCGCCCCGGGTGCCAAGCATCAGGGGGTGACACAAGTCGCGCAGATTAGTACTCACTGGCACATCTGCATGGCAAATCTGCGGTCTATGTCATGAAAAGGGGGGGGTGTACGACTTTGTCTTCTTCGAATCCTGGGGGGTGCCTTAGGACTTATGACGGGGGGACAGGGGGGGTGATCGGGATCGGGTGCCAACCCATGCTACGCCGCCACTGATTTGGCCGATTCTTCATACAAATTAAAATAGCCAATAGGGCACAACTATCGGCCAACTAAAAAGCAACGGTGTGCGCTTACTCTTAGGCTCGCCATACATGGACAGCTCGAGCAGTTAGCCAGTGATGAACATACACGTACTCTTGCAGTCATAGTCAACAGCTTAAAGCTGCCATTGATAACTGCTGGAGCAGTTAGTATTAACTGCTCAACATGTCACAAGCGCGTGCGACGTGGAATGAAGAGCTCGAGCAGTCAGTGTATACTTGGCAACTGCTTGACAGCACGATGAAATTTCAGTGCTGCCAACCACACAAAGCAGTCACAACTGCATTGTGTACAGTAGTTTGCTATGCAGTCGCAGCTTGAAGCCGTCGATACCACCTGCTTCAAGCTGTCCGTATATGGCGGGCCTTACAATAAACACGGACCGCCGATCTCTGTCCTCTAGACCCCTCGCTGTGAACCAGGTGCCTAAAGATCTTGTCCATTGGAAAGTTAGAAAGTTAGGCATGCAATGTAGCGTACATTTATGCACCCTAGTGTGTACAAATTCAGAGTGCATGGTTTTGCGACAATGAGTTTTCATTTTTAATTACTTAAAGCTATAATATTATGTATTGGGATTGGCTGAGTCCAGCAGTTGTGTTCATTCATCCCTTACATAGTAGAGGTGACTTATGCCTGTGTGGAATGGTATAGAACCTGTGTGGAATATTATTACTGAGGAAACAACAATGCTATCTTTAACTGTTGACAAGCACTGTTGGCTGTACACTTTTAGCAGCACCAGTATTCCAGTCATGTGAAAGCCATGTCATTTCATGGCCAGGGCTATTGCCCTACTGTCACACATGCTAGATATCTGAAGTTTTGTAAAAGCTACCAGTCTAAATAGACTGTTTAGCCAGATTTACTACAAGAACTGGCTTTAAAAATTACTTTAAATTTCCAACTTTGATCTCCGGAGCCTTACTGGCTGGTGTAGCATTATGAAGTCCAGATCTGACTTCATAGTGCTGACACTCAATATATTAGTGCTTCAGCAATGTACCTGGCAGTCAAGAATATACTGAGCAGGTGTCCCTTTTGGAACTTTTTAGTTGTTAAATTGGCAAATAAAGTTGTCACTTACACACAATGTGTTACATTTTGAACAGATAGAAATGGCTGCCACAGAATTGGTCTAGGTCCTAACCTAGAGCATAGCACACGCTGAGTGGGTGCCATTTTAGTTCAAAATTAAATAAGTTATATACACTGATCTCTGTTGTATTCTTACCCCCTTAATAATAAAAGTTACATAGTTGTTGAACACTGTTTTAAAATGACATTTCCATACTAAATGTCACTTTAAAACACTATGTTCAATCAACGAGCGTGTAAGTTAAATATTAGTAAGTGAGGATTTAGGACTAATTTTTTTTTTCTTTCTTTCTAAATCCTTGGAAGTAANGCCCCCAAAGAAAATGACTAATGGCTTTTAAATTCGCCCAAATGTGAAAACCGCAAAACAAATAACTTGATTAAAATAAAGAGATGGTCAGGGACATATTTATTTATTTATCCACTTAAACCATTTTATAAGTTGCCATTAAATCTTCAATTTCTCCAAAAGTACCACCCGTTCGCGCTAGCCGGTCCGTGGAATGCGCGTCCCCTCCCCCAACCGCGATTAAACGTAATTAGTTAGTGATTAAATGCAATTAATGTGTCTTATTTTACGCAAATACACATTTTTTATCAATAATAATAAATAAATTTTTTTTTAAATATAGTTTGCTAAAGTTATAGACGCTTTTCTTCGAGTGACGTCATATCGCCAGCGGCAAACTTATCGCGAACGGATAGTACCTGACCTATAAAGACAAAATTAATTCAAGCTTTTTATCTTACTACATACTAGCTCTGCGCCCGGTTTTCCCGAAAATTATAAAAAAATTTATCGCCGGAAAAACTATCCTTTTACTTCAACGAACATTAAAAAAAAAGAATTGGTAAAATTGGTCAAGACATTGTTGAGTTATGTGCTTACCAACACATTTTGCGATTCATTTATTAATATAATTTATAAATGCAAAAGTTTTTATGGACGTTTCACATAAAAACTACTGAACGGATTTTGATGAAACTACAGTGTTATTGTTAATAACTCATATCATAATAAGCTAGAATTCAGCCATTAGCCGCTAAGCCGCTGGCAAAAGCTAGTGTAAAATAAATTGCATATTTCCAATATATTTTGTTTCATAAAACTAGGTCAGGTACTTTTGAAGATTGAAGATTTTCTAAGCAACTCTTTGCTTTACGGTCCAGTGCAGTGTGATAAGCGCGAGTTAGCATTGAATATCGTTGCTAGGGACTGCGTAAAAAAATTACATTAAATGTATGACAGTTTTACATAGGCATTGACATTATAAATTATCTGTATTGTATAACTTGTTGGCGCGTTGGACTTTCTGTGAGCCTTCAAGCAGATTATAAATAAATAAATAAATAATGAAATAAATAAATAAATAACAGATTGTACAGCATCCCTAGCGGATACTTTCAAGAATTATAATCTTAAACTCGCACTACTTACTTTTTAGGTTTGAAAAATGCTCACCTAAAGTTTTTTAACTGGGAATTAAAGAATGCATTGACTGTGAAAAAGTTAGATTTATAGATACTCCGTCTGATATTCAGTGGATCTGATTTTTATACAGTCATCGCACAAAAACTGTCAACGTAGTTTGTATTATAAAATGACACTTATGTAAGAATATAGATGCAGAATATTACTCTGGTGGTGTAAATAATGTTAATTTAATTAAACCAAATCGCAGACTTGGATGTAACCTACTTTTAAGTCTCATTTCATAACACAGACCAAAAATATTATTCGACAATTTTTCATCTTAATCATACTTTTTACATTTATTACCGCTAAAATTCTAATCTAGTATTAGTATGACACTGAAGGAACATGCTGCATCATATTCGTGTAAACGCAATGATTTTCCATCGGTTTCATTTGAGGCATGGGCGGATGAGGCATTACGTTCGGAACTTGCTGCGGAGGCGGAGGCGTTTGCTCCGGAGGCTTTTTATTTTTCTTCTCGCACTTCTTGAACTTAATGCCGAGCTTATTCAATAATATTAACCTTAAAGACTCCTTGCCACCCTTAAAATTGAGTTCGTTTTTGGCAGATGCCAATATTTTACCTAACGTTGGGACTTCTTTACGTAGGGAATAACTGTTCACTATGCCCCTTAACGCACACAGTTGGAAGTAGTCTAATTGCACTTTAGTTTTTCTAACCCGTTTCTTTTTTGGACCAGTCATTTTTGTTTGAGTCGCCTCCGCTCGCAAGCCGTCCCGTTTGATTCTTTTGATTGTACTTTCTGATAAGCCTGTCGCCGCGCACGCTCGCTTGACAACATTCTCCACGGGAAAAGCGTAGCCTCTATTCTGTTTCTCGCTCTCAAAAAACTTAATAACTTTGAATATTATTTCCTTCGCTTGACCGTCGATCGCCTCTTTCTTCTTCTTATCGGACGACTTCAGTCTTTTGACCTCGCTTGCCGGCGGGGCAGGCTCTGGATTCGGCTGTACCGGTTGCTGCACTGGCACCAATTGCGTCATAACAGGCTGTTGTTGTTGTTGCATCGGCACTAACAAATTCAACACAGGAACTTCATGAATATGTTGTTGTTGAGCTTGGTGCATTACTTCGTGTGTCGTCATTTTTGCGGTTGTTATCATACAATCTCCGACTTATCAGTGTAATAGTCAACTTTACAGTCACAGTTATACGTTATTTACTTAATTTACAACATTGGCTAGCGTAAAACATAATTACGACCAAAATCAAAATAAAATTACGAAACAATCAACAGACCAGCCGCCATTAAAATAATTTGACAGCTGTATACAGATTATATCATGAAGATAGATTACGAAAATACGAAGAGCAGGAAAACTACAAAAACCGCTTTCCGCATAAAGGTTATAACACACATATTAACTTCGAAAGATATCGTATATCCGGGTTTCCTTTCCTCCAGCGCGTATTTTGCCCTACACAATGTTGACACAATGGAGCCTTTTAATAAGTCTAAATATTATTTTACTCTTTGAACTCTAATTTTTGCAATTTATTATACAGATGGCCAGCAGGTAAATGAAAAAGTATTATTTCATTGTATTACTTATTTATTTAAAGGCACAACCACAGAATACAAATCAATAAAATTATAATAATGATAACTTACTAGGTTTCACATTTTTCCTGTGAATGTTACACACAGCATTTACGTATGTATGTATATGTTACGGTTAATGTGATAAATTGAAAATTATTAATAATAACCGGTTATTATGAATAATTACCGACAGTCGCGGTAAAAGTGATAAATTAATCACATTTAACAGTGATTATTTAATAATTCAACCTTAGTACTAACAAATTTAATAAAAGAGAACAACATCTTCTGTACGTGCTCGTGTACAGCCAAACTTTTGAACGTTTTGATATCATATATTAATATAATTTGGCATAATGAGTTTGGAATGTTTCTTGCATAATATTACTTTTCCATGATGCCTATAACATAATGTTTTGATTTAAAGTGAAAAATAGGTTACGGTGCGGCGGGGGTGGCCCTTGGGCCACCCCTAAGACGCCTTTTTAGTTTTATACACACATAAATGACCTCATATTAATCACATTTACCAAATCATGCGGTAATTATTCATAATAACCGGCGATTATTCATAATTTTCACATTTATCACTTTGACCGTAACATATACATAATTTATTAATATTACACCAAACTGACACATCTTAACTCCTACAAAAACTTAACGGCAATTGTCTTTTTATGTAACACCACAACCAAACTAATGGAACAGGGATCAAATAACTATTTTTCTTACCTTCTTTCTTATTTATCTTAAATAATAATTATTATTAGCCCAGGGCCTCACAAATTAAAGATTAAATCTCACAGCATTATTGCGAGCGATTTACTACTATAGAATTTACAGGAATGACAACGTTATCGCCTACAAAGGAGTTAATAACCTTGCTATTGACCATAATATTAACATTATTCAAAATTCGGCTTCCCACGACATTTACATTGTTTCCAATCCTACAATAGTTCCCAATATTTGAATTTGAGATAATCACATTGTTTTCAATATTACAACCGTTCCCAATATACGAATTTGTGATGGCCTCGTTGTTAGCAATATTACAAGCGCTCCCAATATGCGAATTTGTGATAACTTCGTTATTCGCAATTTTACAACCGTCTCCAATATGCGAATTTTCTATAACTACATTGTTCCCAATAGTACAATCGTTCCCAATATACGATTTTTTGTAAATTATATTGTTGCTTCCAATATTACAATCGTTCCCAATATGTGAGTCTGGGCTAATAATGTTATTACTACCAATGTGAGTACCAGACCCAGCACTTTCGACGAGGCGGCATGATCTGTAAATCATTGAAAAGTGTTAGTAAGTAGTATAATCAGTAATAAAAAATGCCTTCTCTGTTAGTAACCTAAAAAATATATTCTTACCCCTGGGCCACACAAATCGCAATATCATTCGGGCGACATTGATTTGACAGCTGACAGCGCTGCAGCGGAGCGAAGTCTTGCGAAGTTGCGTGCGAATATGCAAGAAAGCAGCGAAATACGCAAATTGGTTGGCTACACACATCGCGATTGCGCGAATTTTCGGGTTTTCGCGATGTGTATAATGTGTATGACTCAGGGGTAAGCATAATAATAATGGTATGCCATAGGTCAAAGGCTTTTGATAGCCTTAACACAAATTCGTATGGTAGTCTTATAGAATAAATAAATAAATAAAAGGTATTTATTTCAGGCATAGCCCATAAAAGTGTTAGTAACAAAGGTCTTATAAACTATGGTTAGTAAATCACACAGTAACCTAAACACAATTAACGAACGACAATTTGGTGTCTTTAGTAAGATGGACGCGTGTCCAGTGCTGCATGATGGCACTGTCCACGTCCAACCTCGCCGCGACACTCTGCAGGAGGCTGTTGGAGCTGCCACGCACACGGTGGATCAGGGACGCCATGCGCTTTCTTAAAATGGCAGCAAAGCTATCTACTCGAGCTTCTGCCAGCATCCCTGATGCACTGCAGTATCGTCGCAGCCCCATCAACATCCTGAATGCGTCATTATACTGAGTGCGCAGGGCCCTGTATGCTCCTTGGGTGTAGTTTGTCCACAGGCTGCACGTGTACAGAGAGTTACAGTAGGCTTTAAAAAGTGTGATCTTAACCTGTTTAGTAGATACATCGCGCAAACCTGCGAGCAATCATATTAGCCCTAACACACAACGCCCTGCGCTCCCGTTCTAGGTCTAAGTCATCCTTGAGCGACTCAGTGACCCAATGCCCCAGGTACTTAAAGCTCTGCACTTGTTTCAGAGGAGTGCCATTGAGCCTGACAGATGGAACCCTGTATGACTTGTTTTTAGCCTTAAAAACCAGCAACTCACTCTTGACCGTGTTGTACCTAAGACCGTGGCCCACCGCATATCGCTCACAAATGCTCATCAGTTTATTGAGAGCATTGATCGATGGGCACAGCAGCACCATGTCATCGGCATAACTTATATTGTTGATAAAACTCCCATCAATAGAACAGCCAACGCCGGCACCGCTGAGCTCAACAATCAACTCGTTCATGTACAGGTTGAAAAGCGCTGGTGAGCTTATTCCACCCTGCCTCACTCCACATTCCAAACTGTACACGCTCGAGTGCTCCCCAGACCATTTAACATAATTCTGTTGGTGTGAGTACCAGTACTTAAGAATTGCAATGTACACCTGAGGCAGATCAGTTTCAAGAGCAAGCTTATTCCACAAGATATCATATTGAACCAGGTCAAATGCTTTTGACAGGTCCAAAAACACTGCATAAACCGGCGTGTCCCTCGCCGTGTAATACTGGACAGTCTGCTTGAGGCATAAAACAGCAGCTTCGGTAGACAGACCTGGCCTGAACCCAAACTGGGCGTCATGTAGTTTGACACAGGTACCCATCTCCAGGTCAAGCTGTCTGTCCAGTACTTTGGCTATAATGGTCGCCAATGATATTGGCCTGTAATTGGACCTGTCACTAGCATTCCCAGTTTTATTTTTGGAAATAGGTACAACTATAGTTTTCAACATGTTGTCTGGTAAGTAGCTGTGGTTCAGGCAAAGTGAGAAGAACATTGCCAGAATACGTGGTAGATGCACACCTGCATATTGCAGGTGCTCGATACTTAGATTATCTTGTCCAGGTGATTTACCTCTGCTCATCCCTCTCAATACAAATCGAATGTCCTTTGCCCCAATCAGAACTGACTTATAAATAGAAGAGGCAGTTGTTATCCCAGACAACCCCACCACCGGCTTAACTCTGAAATGGTCTTTAAACATTTCGGCTATATGTGAGGGTTTATTTATCCCCTCTACACATACTGGAGGACTTGGTTTGGGTGTGTTTCCAGAAACTTGTGAACTTTTTATGCGCATGACTTATAATCAAAATATCCATTTTTATTTGCAGCTCATTATTTTGACACCATTTTAGTTTGGCTTTAAAAACATTTCTAGAAACACGCCTCCTCTCATAAACATACCCATCTCGAGGCTTGTTGTATTGGCTCCGTGCACGATTACAGCGCCAACTAGCGTCCACAACTTTGTGGGGTCTGTCACATTGACATTTAGGTCGTATATTTGTGAAAAAATATCGAAATGAAAAAATAATAAATATTTTCGACTAATAAATTGTTGTGATATCACGATTTGGGTGGAAAAAAGGTTTTGAAATCATTTTGGTCATTCAAATCAAATGAGATAAGTCCTAAAAGTGTGTTTAATTTTGATTGTGTCAGGGTTTGTATACTTCATTTAGAGTTGTAGAGGAAGGATCCTTAGACATTTTACACTGCGCTTCTAGTCCCAAACTAAGCAAAGCTTGTACTATGGGTACTAGACAACGGATATAAACATACTTAAAAACTTTTTTTGTAAATACGTACTTATTATACATAGAAAACACCCAGTCCAATACAAACAAATATGTTCATGCACACAAATGTTTGTACTGTGCGGGAATCGAACCCGCTACCTCCGGAATAGTAGTCCGTTTCGAACCACTACACCAAACGGCCGACAATACAAACCTAGCATTTGAAGTCTCGCATAATATTGTATTTAATGCACGTTGAACTTTCTTCTCTCACTCTCTCTCATTTTAATTAAATTGTTATTTAATTTGAAATCTACCTAATCAATTTAATTTCAAAAACCACTTACAATAGTGTTAAAAATCTAGATTTTTTATAGATTCAGTAAAATAATAATATTTTATGTAATAATATCAAAAAAATGTGATTTTAAAATAAATATAGTTCCATATTTTACTGAATTTTACTAAATCAATATCAACTAAACACACTCTAGTCAAGTGTAAGTGGTGTAGTAGAAACTAATCGAGTATAGTTTGGAGATGACTTTTTTTACTAAGCTCCTCCAAACTATACACGATCAGTACGCAAAATTCGTGTATAGTTTGGAGTCACAGACGTACAAACAGGCACTACAAAATATACACGAGCAGTTTCCTATGGGTGCGTTCTGGCCATGTATAGAACGGAAAGACGCGTAATTGGACCTGTCACTAGCATTCCCAGTTTTATTTTTGGCAATAGGTACAACTATAGTTTTCAACATGTTGTCTGGTAAGTAGCTGTGGTTCAGGCAAAGTGAGAAGAACATTGCCAGAATACGTGGTAGATGCACACCTGCATATTGCAGGTGCTCGACACTTAGGTTATCGTGTCCAGGTGATTTACCTCTGCTCATCCCTCTCAATACAAATCGAATGTCCTTTGCCCCAATCACAACTGACTTTTTTAAAGTAAGTACTATCATTTTTATTTTTATAAATAGAAGAGGCAGTTGTTGTCCCAGACAACCCCACCACCGGCTTAACTCTAAAATGGTCTTTAAACATTTCGGCTATATGTGAGGGTTTATTTATCCCCTCTACACATACTGGAGGACTTGGTTTGGGTGCCAGTCTCTTTGTGTGTTTCCAGAACTTGCTGGAACAAATAGAGCAAAGGATCCAAAATACTTACGTAAACACAATCAAAAATATATACGGCCAAAGTAAAACTTGTAACCGGCTGGAATTTACGGGAGATGCTTTCCTGATAGACAGGCGGGTCAGACAAGGTGGCCCACTCTGACCCAAGCTGTTTACAGCAGTGCTGGAACAAATAATAATAAGTTTAAAATACTCGACCGGCCGCACCCCTAACCCCAGTTTTTTTACGTAACAATACAAATTATACTTTTTTGGCAGTTTTTACCTAAATGAAAACATTATTGCTAATGCAACAAATAAGTGAAGGCGCCGCGCCGTATTGACATTGATCTGTATAAAAAAGTTGCTTTATATCAAAATAATCGACACATTAACGACAAACATCTGTTATCTCTTTTTAACTAACCAATGGTGTTTAATGAAAAAAAGAAAGATAAATATGTTCAGTAGGTACCTCTAGTAAATGCTCATTCTAACATTTTATGTGATGCTATATCTCTCTTTAAGCCTCCGCTACACTACTCGCTTCGGTACTTCGGACCATATCCACACACTCGTGCAACACCGCGAGGAACTGTCACTTCTCCGGCTTGAGGGCTGCTGCACACTAGATAACATGCGTGGCAAGAAGAGTGGCAATGGTTCGTTTCAGCCGAAAGACGTCCACTGCTGGACAAAGGCCTCTCCCAAGGATTTCCACAAAGACCGGTCTAAAATCAAGTAGCAGTGGGCAGGGCACATAGCTCGTAGAGCTGACGGCCGCTGGGGCAGGAAAGTTCTTGAGTGGCGACCACGAGCCGGAAGACGTAGCGTAGGCTGGCCTCCCACTAGGTGGACCGACGATCTGGTGAAGAGTGGCAATATTACAATACAATCAAAAACCCATAATCGCTTACCTTAACCCATAAATACTTTTGACTGCTTGTTTGCAGTCAAAAATGGTGTTGACTAACGCCCTTGGTAAAAAAAAACACTTTTGACTGGAAACAACTAGTTAAAACTGATATTGACGGTTTACTCGTACATCGGTCAAAACCACAGTCAACCCGACTCGAGTCCTCCCAGAGACTCGCAGAGACTACGCGAGCGTGTAAACACGCATTTCGAAATTATGTATCTTTCCGAACACTTCGTCGCATAGTGTACCTGCGCCATAACGGCGGCAATAAGTTAGTCATTGGTTAGTCATAAATTTTTCCTTTGTTATTGTTTTTGTAACGAGTGTTTTGTTTACATGAAATTAAGGTGCGTTGAGTTGTGTTGAAAGCCGCCATCGCGTCGTGTGCGTCAGAACCTCGGGTTAGGTGTCAAAAAATGAAACTAAAAATGCTCTGTTATTTCATAGTGACTTAATAGTATTTGATAAATTGGTAACGAAGCAAAAAGATTTTAGTACCTATTTCTACAAATATAAAAAACGTGGGGACTTCTGCTTGCTAATCTGTCGGGCTATGTCAGCGAGCGACTTTAGTTCGTCGTTTACGGATCTCCTCATTTCTGATTCGATCTCGTAAAGAAACACCCAGCATGTGCCTACGTAATATTATGCTCATTGATAGCCCTTTCCATTATGGCGGCATAGACAATGTCCAATTTGTTTGTTGCAGTTTTTAGAAAATATCAAAAATGTTACAAAACAAAATAGGATAAGGAAAGGACAGCAATTATTGGACGATTGTGACTATTCAGAGGTGTGTTTTATTTATAGGTGATCAAAGAAAACTAAAATAATAATTTAACTGGAGTCCACTTTGATCACCCAGGTCATCTTATCCATGGGTGATCAGGACACCAAATTGTTGCTTGGAGTCCACTTTGATCACTTGGGTTTGGGTGATCAAAGCGGAATAGACTATTCCTACACTATGAAGGAAATTGACCAAGACGAAGCGCTAGATCGTACACGTACAGTATGGGCGAGTTGGGCGACGCACGGCGAAAGTATCCAAGTGCATGTTTACATTATGGGTCTCGATCAATTTCCCGCATAGTGTACTAGGCGCCAATAGCTTTATGCTTCTTTATGAGGCCTATAATGAGAGTTTTATTCAATGTTTATTATAAAATACAGTTGACTTAGTTACTAATTTTTATTTTATTTATTAAAATACATGTCATATACCGAGTACAATCATAGAATAATTTATGACCAACAATAAATACAGTTTTAACCTAGATTGTAATCCAATAAAAATTGGCCAAATGCGTGTTGTGCCATGCGCAGTGTAGGGTTCCGTAGTTGTCCGTCGTTAACACAATATTATTTCAGAAGCAAGCAAATTACTTCATCTAAAGTCACTTTTAATATTTTCGGGTACTTCTCATTTACACTCAAATTTGATGGTCACACAGTAATAGTTCATAAACGGTATAAGTTAGAACAATAACTTTCAAATCAGATGATAAAATATCTATTTAGCTACATACAAAATAAATTTTATCGTAATAGAAGCAAAAATAATACGAAAAAATCACATGAAACAAACGATAAAAAACGGGGTCATTTTTCGCGTTCTCATCGTGTCACACCTTCGGTTGCAATGAAACATTTGGTTACTGCATTCACAATTTTCATTCAATTTGTGTGTATCATATACTAAAATCATCGTAATTAAATATACTTTCCACACAACAGTCAAAAAAATATCTTCTTATAATTATTTTGAATTGAGAAAGCGAAATACGTTGGTCACACGATTTTAGGTACCTAAAATTTTGAGTAATAATACAAAATTGCCGTTAAACCGAACACCAGCAACCAATCACAGCATTCTATTCGGTTAACGTCAGTCGCGCTTCGACCATTGGGGAGGTGAGATAGGTCGATCGTCGCTCCGCGAAAAAAATACGTAACTTTTTGTGATTATCCATAGACATACCGTCGCTTGCTTGAACAATATTTTCTACCTCTAAAATTTAAACAATTTAATTGAAACTTTGCCATTGAAAACTCAACATGTTAGACTTATTTGTGTAGTATTCAACTTGAACCGTTAAATTCAAATTTAAGGATAATTCATAAAAAACTAAAATTTTCGTCACCTTCGTGGCATCACCTTCGTGGTGTTTTATACACGAAGGTGATTTTAGGCCACGAAAGTGATTTCTTGCTTTGGTTTATTTTAAAATATAGTGACTGGTGTTTATGTTTTTACAATATTTTAATAACTAATAAATTATACGTGGTTGGTAGAGATCAGTACATCAATAAATAAATAAGGGCCTCGTATTTTTGTTGTCTGTCTGTATGTATGTCTGTATATGTGACTGTGTAGGTATCTGTTTGTAAGATAAATTTAATCTGAAGTTTGAGTTATAAAAGATTGGAATAAAAATTATTTTTGAAAAACAAGCTTTTAATGCGCTAAAAAGAATAAAATAAAATATAAATTGTTTCAAACCCATCAACTTATTACTTTACTCAATTTATATGACTAAAAGCTAATCGCGAGATTTACTTGTGCAAATGAAGAGAGAGCAACCCACAGGTTGAAAAACACTGATCTAGGCCAACGTACTCTTTAAGACGAATTAAATGAGCCCAAAGTCAACGGGGCTGTGTCGCTTTATTGCGGAGTTCCTATGGCCACCTTCCACTCCATCATCAGACTGGTTAACATATAAGTAGGATTGAAGTCATACTCGATGAGGTAGTGTCGCTTTAGTGCGGAGAATTCGTATGCCCACCTTTCAGCTCCATCATCAGACCCTAGTTATCATATGTGATTGAAGTGCTCGTCAATACGAATTACCAAACTTGACGAAGTTGTGTCGTTTTATTACGTAGTTATTATGGCTACCTTCCAGCTCCATCATTAGACCCTAGTTATCATTATAGGATTGAAGTTCTCGTCAATACGAACCAAATGAGCCCAAACTCGATGAGGTTGTGTCGTTTCAGTGCGGATTTCCTATGGCCACCTTCCGGCTTCATCATCAGACCCCGGTTACCATATAGGATGGAAGTTCTCATCAATACAAATCAAATGAGCCCAAACTCTATGGGGTTATGTCGTTTTATTGCAGAGCTCCTATGGCTACCTTCCAGCTCCATGTCATCATAATATTGCATTGTCATCCGACTTACACATGCATGAAAAATTTCAGCTCAATGGGAAACCGGGAAGTTGGTCAATTTTAAGTTGCAAGATTTGCCTACACCAGACATGTGAAAGTAAATAAAAGCTTGCAATAATAATAAAATACGAGGCCCTCTGGCCAAAATAAAAAATATATTTTTGTTGAGGGACTGATAATCAGTAAGAGTTCTTTTTTATTGAGGTACTGATAATTCCGTTTTTTGCTTCTTTAGCATTTCAGAATGCCACCAGTGTTACCCTTAAAACCAATTGCGTAGAATCTTGTAACTTAGTAGATGAGTTAATCGGTAAAATTGTATCTTGTATTTAAGTAGGTACCTATTTATATTATGTTATTGCTATTTATCTATGAAAATAAGACAAAATATGTGTTATATAAACACTTAAGAGTCATTTACAGTAGTAAAGTTTGAAAAAAATATTGCTGTGAAATACAGAATCACTTTCGTGGCATCAAAAAATTCAAAACGTTAAAGCTTCCAAACGAGACTCACTATTTGACTGATTTACTGAGAATACAATCTTCACATCAAGCGCTACAATTTTTGTTTACAAAAAGTTCAAATAAGTTAGAAATAAAATTCGTCACGAAGGTGACGATGAGAACCGTGGCGATGAGAAATACCCTTTCATCTAAGGAATTTTTACTATATTTTAAGAAATTTCTCTTAAACTAACTATGTATCTTAAACCGTTATAGTTTTCCTTGAAAGTTCATGAAAAGCAGTATTATTACGACCTTTTCCAGCTTGGGGTCATTGGACAAAATTCTACGTGCTCACAGACCAGACTTATAGTTGTTACTAAAATGTGTTACTGTATACTGACTAAAATACAAATGTTTCACCCATCATGTCTGTTGACCACTATAGAATTTTCTGGAATGACAACGTTATCACCAATAACGGAGTTAATAACCTTGCTGTTATCCCTAATAATAACGTGATTCCTGATACGACTCCCTACGACAATGACGTTGTTTCCAATAGCACCACCGTTCCCGATCTCTGAATTTGTAAGAATCACGTTATTCCCTATAGTACAGTATTTGCCAATTTGTGTATTCGTGTTGATTACATTTTTTCCAAGAGTACACTCTTTCCAAGTTTTCACGGCAATAATATTATAAATAATGTGACCATCGGACCCAACAGGAGTACCTTCGGCAAGGCAAGATCTGTAAATAATAGAAAATATTAAATTAGTTAAATATATGTTACGGTCAAAGTGATAAATGTGAAAATTATGAATAATCGCCGGTTATTATGAATAATGACCTCATGATTTGGTAAAATGTGATTAATATGAGATCATTTATGTGTGTATAAAACTAAATAGGCGGCTTAGGGGTGGCCCAAGGGCCACCCCCGCCGCACCTTAACCTATTTTTCACTTTAAATCATAACAATGTGTTATAGGCATTATGGCAAAGTAATGTTACGCAAGAAACAGTCCAAACTCATTTTGCCAAATTATATTAATATATGATATCAAAACGTTCAAAATGTGAGGCTGTACATGAGCGTTGTACACGAGCCGGTGTTCTCTTTTATGATATTTGTTAGTATTAAGGTTACATTATTAAATAATCACTGATAAATGTGATTAATTTATCACTTTTACCTCGCCTGGTGGTAATTATTCATAATAACCGGCGATTATTCATAATTTTCAATTTATCACATTAACCGTAACATATAGATACACTCGACATCAATTAAATCGCACCTCCCGCGACAAGCACTTTCAAACGTAGGTATGCATCCCCACTTCCCACCAATATTGGCACCATATTTTAAAAGCCTAGTTCTAAACTTCATTTCAATAGGAAAGGTTTTTGCCCCAATAAAGTGTCTTTAGAAGGATCCAGAGTCACCTAATCAAAAAATAGGTAGTTACACTTGAGCCAACTTTTATGGCTATAAAACTGTTAAGTTGCAATTAATCGCTAAGGTGCCTGCCTACAGCAAAATATACTTTTGATTACTTTTGATAGCCTCAAACACCTAATTCACGAATTCCTATGGCAAAGTTATAAAGAGCAGGGGATCCAAAATACTTACGTAAACACAATCAAAAATATATACGGCCAAAGTGACGCTAATGGGAGGCTGGAAACGGGAGATGGTTTCCTGATAGAGAGGGGGGTCAGACAAGGTGGCCCACTCTGACCCAAGCTGTTCACGTCAGTACTAGAACAAAAATTAAATAAATAATAACTACATAGCTAAAACTAAACCTACTCGTGAATATAAAAGGAACATAATTGTATAAATAAATGTAATTAAAAAAGGCTTAGATGATTTTATAGCAGCAGATGTTGTTAAGTAAAAAAATACAAAATGCACGTTTTAACAAAAAATAAAGTTGTCAGTTAAAATATTCAGTAAATAAACATTTTAATAAACAATTGAGCAGTAAATTACTAAATTCTTATGGGCAGTAAACAAATTTATTTTATTTTTATTTTTATTTCAGGGATTAACTACAAACAAATCGGTTTTTGGTAAATCTCATTATAACAGCAACGGCAATAGATAGTGGCTTGAAATGTTTTGAATTTTAGTTGTTTATTCACTATAATTTAAAAATAAATTAAATAATTTTTAAATACCCATACAACAGCAAAATTATCATACGGTACGGGACCCTTCGTGTAGGAGTCCGACTCGCACTTGGCCTGTTTTTCAGCTGATCATAACAAACAATTAGTATCAAAAAAATAATTCGGACGGTCGGTTTCACTTCACGTAGTACACAAATTATTATTTAAGAAATCAAAATAATCTCCTACCTGAATGAAGACATTTTTCTAAAAACAATTTGACTTCAATGTTGCTTAAAGGATGCAATTATGTGGAGGCACCGTATTGAATTGATTCGTAATAAAAATACTTAAGTAAACAAACAAAAAATTAAATCGACACATAAAGACAAAGAGCCGTTTGTCTCTCTCTAAACAATGGTGGCGTGTGAAAGAATTAATAAAATTTGCTCAGTAACCATTCTATCAACATTTTCAAGTGAATGACGTTGTTATCTCTCGTTATTCAAGCTTAGAGGATTTTAACCAACTGGAGGTGGAGCCAACGTTTATTTTTATGCGTGTAATTGTCTTTTAAATAAAAACACGGCTAGAGGCACGCTCCGGCTTTCATCATCTCAGCCATAGGACGTCCACGGTAGCGCATTTTCTTACATAACTTTTCAATTCCTATCATTGGAGGTCCGAAAATATTTCTCATACAATTTGATACCATAATGATCATTCTTCATAAAAAATTTAAAACCTACATATTTAAAAACATAATCATTGATATTCATAATATCACTAATCATACACTTAGTTTTTACTAATATTTGTTTTCATATATTTTTCTATACTAATGATCGAAACTCATAATCATTCGAATAAATAACTATAATATTCATAAATGTGATGTATCCTAATATTTGTTTTCATAAATTTATTACTCATAAGTGTATTTATCCATATTATTGAAAATCATGATGTCTATATTCGTATTAAATCGTATTTTAACATTAAATTAATTTGAAATGGTCCAAAACAGGCAATATTTTGTGCCACAAAACTAACGTGACAGAAACGAATCGCTGCAAAACCGACTCCACGTAGTCTTGTCTGCCCTACCCCTAGAGTGTAATTTAAAAGCCGGAGGCGCGGAGGGAGGGCAGCCCTCGCCCGCTGTAACGAGGCTCAGGCGCCCGGGTGAGCTGGAGCGGCTGAGGCTGGTGGCGATCCAAAAAGCCGAAGCTGCGGAAGCAAGCGTGGGCGCCTGAGCCTCGTTACGCAAGGGCGGAAGGGCTGCACATCCCGCAGCGCCGGAGACGAGGAGATACCAATGCATGCTGCATGCTTGCTTTCATGCTGCATGCTCTGCATGCTTATCTACTCTATTAAATTATATCTGATTTTTTTAAAGATACGAGTAGGTATGTCTGTTATAAAGTAAATTATTCTGAACAACAACATTATGAGTTGAAGTACGTATGTTCTTAGTAACAACATTATTAATTAAAACAATAAGACCAATGAATGTTATAAAGAAAAAAGATCTGAAAATAAAAATTATGTATATTAAATGGTTCTTGGTAGTAACAGTATTAAAAAAATTATGATAACTAACCGTTATGAGCTCCGATGGTAGTAATAAAAATGTATGAATAAAAAAAGTATGAAAAATAAAATTATGAAGAGAGATTATTATGAACACAAATCGGTAGTAAGACAAAGAATAGGATTTAGAATTTTATGTGAGCCAATATAGAACCGACGTCCACTGCTGAACATAGGCCTCCCCCAATGCTTTCCATGTTGCCCGGTTGGTAGCGGCCTGCGTCCAGCGCCTTCCTACCTACTACCTTTATGATGTCGTCGGTCCAATTTGTGGGTGGACAATTCCTCCACAGTCCTCACTCCTGTTTGGTTTAATTATCTAAGTAGTCGAGTTAGTCATAAATTTTTCCTCTGTTATTGTTATTTGCAATGAGTCTTTTGTTTATGTGGAAATAGTGATGCGTTCAGTTGTGTTGAAATATCTGGGAGCACGGTAGTGCCCCCGCCAAGACGAGCCTTTGCTTTTGCCCATTGGCCATTGGCGTCTAGGGTCCTTTTTCAGGGTGGCCTGTGCCCCGATTACGCTAATTTTTAACGTCTCCAATACAGACACGCTTCTTCGATTTCTTCGATTCTGCGATACGGATTTGTCAAAACAGCTGACGTCCGGGCACGTTGAAGATGAAAATTTTTAGCGTAATCGGGGCCCTGAGGGCCTAGTGTGAGTTTACATCAAACGCGCTCACAAGTGAGCATGTATGACCACAGAATAAGTAATAGTACAGGTACAGAAGGATTACTCCGCAAGACGATTTAAATAAATGCGAGTCTTGCTACGACGCGATAAAGTGGAATTCAGCTCGCACAGCACTACGTACCTACAATTTTATTCACCTACAAGTTTTGTCTCTTTCTATCGCGTGCCTCTGAACTCTTCTTACGCTGTTAGGGTTGCTGTCTAGTGAAAAAATAATTAGTCTACTTATATGTAATGAGGTACGTATGTTAGGTAAGTACGCATTCATTATGCAAAACCTTGGGAAAGGCCTTTGTCCAGCAGTGGACGTCATTTGGCTGAAACGAACGAACGCATTCTGAGCAGTAGTCATGGTAGGTTAGGTTCCTATACTATCCTAGAATTTATTGATTACCTACATGGCCAACATACCTTTCAGCATCTTTGGCGGTGAGTCGAGACGAGCAGGTTGCGGTGCTCTATCCACGGTGAGTCGGGATAGTGAGCGGAGGCGTCTTCGATGGTCGGGCGTGGAGCTGGGCCAGAGCTGTACCCGTGACCAGTGAAGTGACGGTTGCTTGCTGCCGAGGAACCAGGAAGGTCGGTTTGCGATCTGCGATGGTCCCTTGAAGGCTGGATGCTGGCTCGTTGAAGACTGGAGCTGATGATGCCGGAGTGGCGGAGATGGTGAGGATGGCGGAGGCTGATGCCGAAGATGGTGGTGATGGAGGTTGCGTCTCACATCACGTCGGGGTCACCAATGTGGGATATGATGCTCAATCACAATAAGGAAGCTAGATGTTAGTGCTTCCTTCCGAGCGGGTGTTATGCTCGGGGACCAAGGTCCAATTTACACCATCTTGGTTTGTCTATATATACTTTGGCAGGATCTAAAACTCCGTCACCGCGATGCAGGTTTGTATGAGCGGCGGAGTGTGCCATAGTGAAGTAGTGATAGCGCCATCTGTTGGTCACTAGTTTGTAGTGGCGTCGCCACACATTATTCATAATTCGGCTTCCTATGATATTCACATTGTTTCCAATAGTACAATGGCTCCCAATATTTGAGTTTGTGACAACATCATTGTTAGCAATCTTGCAACCGCTGCCAATATACGAATTTGTTATAACTTCGTTATTTCCAATTCTACAACCATCGCCAATATAAGAACTTCTGATAACCTGGTTGCTTGCAATATTAACACCGTTCCCAATACTCGTAGTTGTGATAATCGCATTATCTCCAATAATACAGTCGTTTCCAATATGTGTGTTTGCGTCAATCATATTATTTTGACCGGTGACAGTACCAGACCCAACATCGGCACCTTTGACCAGGCATGATCTGAAAATATTTCAAGTTATTTATTTATATTTGATCCTTACTTACAGAAACACCCTGTATAAAAATACCTACACTGTTAACTACAGCAAATACTCGGTTTCCATTCCACCAAGCCGAGCCGTCTATATTTTCTGTAGAATATGACAGCAGCGTGGTGCGGAGCGGAGCTAGCGGAGAAGTGTAATAATGAAATCTGATTAGTTAAGTATTCAAAACACTTCTCCGCTCTGCTCCGCCTTGGTGGTAACCATGAAGAGCTTCATGGTGGTAACCGGGGTTTACTTTGACTTACAACAAACGTCAAAAATATGTCAAACTCCAATCAAAAACACCGGTTATCAATAGTGACGGTTAAAATTATTCAAAGGCTTTTAATAGCATCAAACGGGTGAATTTCAACAAGTGCATATTTTTGCCTAATTTTGGTGGAAATTGTTATTTGTGTATTTTTATTCTTTAATTATAGATCAAATTTATTGGAAACTTATACTGTTTCTAAAATGATTAAGACATTAAATTTTGTCCAGTAGTTTTTTAGATTTTCCTTACACCAAAATTAAGAAAACACCAAAATTTATATTAAAGCACAAAAATTAGAAAATATGCTGTCAGTCGGTCATATCTTAGTGCCAAGCTCAAGAAATGGTTTTAAAAGACAATGCCGGAAATTGGCGTCTTTTTTTTTTCGCGCGGCCATCGACCAAACCTTGTTTTTTGATTACAAAATAGTGTAATAAACCAAACTTAGTATGACATGTATACCTCTAAACTCAGTCTGAACTGAGTTACGAGCATCAGAAGTTTGATGATTTTCATACTAGATTTGCTGTTTGGGCGCAAGTTTTGTAAGAAATTGCAACAAAATAATGACATTTTATGTGTAAACAAACAATACCATCCATTAAAGGCTCCAGACATCAGTATGCAGCAGAATCAGCGCAATAAAAAAATAGCGCAATATTTTGTTGCAATTTCTTACAAAACTTGCGCGCAAAAAGCAAATCTAGTATGAAAATAATTAAACTTCTAATGCTCGTAACTCAGTTCAGACTGAGTTTAGAGGTATACATGCCATAGTAAGTTTGGTTTAAAACACTATTTTGAAATCAAAAAACAAAGTTTGGTCGATGGCCGCGCGAAAAAAAAAAGACGCCACCTTCCATACAAAATCTGGCATTGCCATTTAAGAATAGCTTAGAAATCTTATACAAAAAGACACCAAAATTGCAGAATTGTTGTCCGTTTAAAAAAAAACAACACATTTACGTTTTTGGCGGGAAGACGCAGAGGTCTTGCACCCGTCTGCCGTCACTGCTCGCGGGGGCGGTACTAAACCTAACGAATGATGGGAGTGTTTAAATCCTGTTTGATCTTTAAAGAAACTGACGAGCTATTTCATTATTGACACCAAAATCATAAATTTTTCGCGGACAAAACTTAAGGACGTGACTTAATCACAGTTATTTGGGAAACTTGCTTAATTTGGTAATCTTAGATAATAGATAGATGTATAATCCAAAAATATACTTTTTCCCTAAGTTCTGTTTTGATCTTCAGCTAAAAAAATACATATTGTAAGAAATTAAGGATGTGGACACTGCACCAAAATTAGAAACGCTTAGTTCAATTATTTTTTGTCGAATTTGTAAAAGAAAATACTCATTAATAATGTTGTCCTCAAAATGGAACCTCTGTATATTTTCGTGTAAAAAAAAATTAAAGTTCTATGTCATAAAAAACATATGATTTTCAGCTACGCCGCTCAAAAAATGTGTTTGGGAAATTGACCCAAACATGAATTCAAAAAGAGCAGGGGATCCAAAATACTCACGTAAACACAATCAAAAATATACACGCCCAAAGTAAAGCTCGTGTGAGGTTGGAATCGGGAGATTTCCTGATAGAGAGAGGGGTCAGACAAGGTGGCCCACTCTGACCCAAGCTGTTTACGGCAGCACTAGAACAAACAATATAAAAATAATTCGACCGGTCGGTTTCACTTCACCATTTCACATAAAACATTATTATTTTGAAATCAACCCTAATCACACAGTACCTAAATGAAGACATTATTATTATTTTAATTTAAAAACAATCAGATTGAAGATGCTATCATCTGAACACGTAGTAAATATTACACAGGTACTAAATAAGTGGCGGCGCCTTAGGATAAAAAAAAATGCATCTACAAATAAAAACCAACCAACCAAGTGCGAGTCGGACTCGCTCACCGAGGGATCCTTACAATAGTTTGTTTATAAAATTCAAGTTTTCGACCAAAAAATGACAGAAAAACACGTTTTGTATTCCCATCCCACTTAAAAATTGATTTTTTTATTCTGTTTTTTATTAACTACTAGTTTTCCGCCCGCGGCTTCGCCCGCGTGGAATTTTGTCTGTCACAGAAAAACTTTATCGCGCGCGTCCCTGTTTCAAAAACCGGGATAAAAACTATCCTATGTTCTTTCCCGGGACTCAAACTATCTCTATGCCAAATTTCATCAAAATCGGTTGCGAGGTTTAAGCGGGAAATTCNCGACTGATGTAATACCCGCCGGCGCGGGGCGCTTCGCTGTAGGTAATTATCGGATGTACCGCGCGAAGTGAGCCAGGCCTGGTATGACAGATTGTACAGCGCCCCTAGCGGGAAACGTTCAAAAACTAAAATTTTCATACATTTTTTAAACGCGCTCACTATGAACTCACACTCAGCCCACTGGCCCCTGATATGCCATGGGGGGAGGTGCGATTAGTAAGATCACAGCTCATGAGTTAGTACTGCCAACTAAGTATCATCTTCAAATCAGTAGCCAAATCATCACTTGCCGTGTCACCCCGTAATTTTCTACTTGATCTTTGGTCTGATGATGGAGCCGGAAGGTGTACCTAAATAAAAGCTTGTTTTCAAAAGGTTTTTTAATAATAACTTACTGATTATGTAGCTTAGTTGTTACATACTTTACTTTGTTAGAATTTAAGTAGGTACTTGCATCATAATTATAACTAATATTATTATCTTACTTTCTTACAATCCAATCGAGTTAACTGCGCACCTGGCATCCGTGACGTCACATCGCCGCTCTGGTACGAATACGTGGGCAGTTAACTTCATCGGGCTGTAGTTATGTAGTCTTAAATTATTGCTGCATGCGATTTACCACCGCAGAATTGACAGGGATGACAGTGTTATCATCAATAAACGAGTTAATAACCTTGCAATTATCATTAACAATAACATTTGTGGTATATGATGCTCAACCACAATAAGGAAGCTAGATGTTAGTGCTTCCTTCCGAGCGGGTGTTATGCTCGGGAACCAAGGTCCAATTTACACCATCTTGGTTTGTCTATATATACTTTGGCAGGATCTAAAACTCCGTCACCGCGATGCAGGTTTGTATGAGCGGCGGAGTGTGCCATAGTGAAGTAGTGATAGCGCCATCTGTTGGTCACTAGTTTGTAGTGGCGTCGCCACACCACTCCCCCCGGAAGAACCGGAGGTGGATGACGTCAGGATGAGCTCAGCAGTCTGTGCGTGATGAGCTTACAAGTGCCAGTGTGCTCAAGTCTTCGCGGTGAGTCGAGACGAGCAGGTTGCGGTGCTCTATCCACGGTGAGTCGGGATAGTGAGCGGAGGCGTCTTCGATGGTCGGGCGTGGAGCTGGGCCAGAGCTGTACCCGTGACCAGTGAAGTGACGGTTGCTTGCTGCCGAGGAACCAGGAAGGTCGGTTAAAAAAAAACCATTTCATTAATAAATACTTAGGTACTCAAATTGTCACACAAATCATTATAAACTGTCAGAAAGATATTCATTTACAGAGTAGTAACCTTTTTTTAACAAAAGGTCCTTTAGCTTAGCTTTAAATACAAGTATACATGTAGTTTCAATTATATCTTTTGGTAGATGGTTGTATATTCGAGGCGCCATACAGAAAACGCTCTTATTGAAGAGTGCTGATTTATTTGGAGGTATACAAATTTTCAATTTATGTCTTTTACTATTTAAAGTTACAAACTGATCCAAATTATTTTTAACAAACATTGACACTTCAAGTATGTAAATACAGGTTAAAGTCATAATCCTTAGATTTAAGAAGTACGGTTTACAGCTTTCAGTCTGTTTTATTTTGCACATTGCCCTTATGCATTTCTTTTGTGCTCTAAACACACAACCTTTATTTACTGAGTTGCCCCAGAACATAACACCATACTTTAAAAGGGGAGCAACATATCCATGGTATGCTGTTAGGATAGCAGACATATTTACTGTCCTTTTAAGCATATACAGTGCGTAAGAATATTGGCTTAATTTTGTACATAGTGTGTCAGTGTGTGACTTCCAACCTAAGCCATTGTCTATGTTGAGACCTAAAAACTTTGTTAAATTTACTTGTTCAATATTTTGATCTAAATAATGTATTTTTATGTTATCAACTCTATCAAGTCTATTTTTAAATGTCATTACTTTGGTTTTGTCAAGATTTATTTTTAAGTTATTCAATGTCAACCAGTGTATAATATTAGATAAAGTATTATTAATGTCAAGTTCCATTTGCATTTTGTCATTTCCTGTAAATACCACAGTGCTATCATCTGCAAACAATATGGTTTGATAGTGAGTTAATTTAGGCAGATCATTTATGTAAATAATAAAAAATAAAGGACCTAACACACTCCCCTGCGGTACTCCAAATGTAACATCTTTGAATTTTGATCTGTAATTAACAATCTTTTTAGTCTTTGGGCATAATTTTGAAATTTGTGTACATTGCTTTCGATTACTAAGATATGATTTGACAAGATCGAGCACATTTCCTCTTATCCCATATGCATATAACTTTTCTAATAATAGGCTGTGCCTCACATAGTCAAACGCCTTAGTTAAATCCATATACAGAGCACAGGCATGGTTTTTAGTATCTATAGTATTCATGACTACATTTAAAAACTTGAAAATTGCCATATTTATAGATTTATTTTTTCTGAATCCAACTTGTTCAGAAGCAAAAAGGTTTTTACTTTCAAAGAAGTTACTTATGGTATTATGAATAACCTTTTCAAATATTTTAGAGATAACAGGCACAAGTGCTATTGGTCTGTAACAGTTCATGTCATGTTTATCATTTTTCTTAAACAGTGGTTTAACTACAGTAAGCTTTAATTTGTCAGGAAAAACACCGTTCGTTATACACAAATTTATAATAAAGCTTAAAATAAAAGCTACCTTCAGAGACACATGTTTTAGAACACTTGTAGATATGTCATCGTAACCAGTACTGCTAGTTGTTTTTAAAAAATTCATGATAATTCTGTGGACATCTTCGGGTATAGTCGGATTCATAAAAAGTGAAAAAGGTTCATTTGGGAAATTAATATGGTTTTGACTATAATTTGGATTCAGTATCGTGATTTGATCAATAAAGAAATTATTAAAGGACTCTGCTACTTCTGCGGGGTCACTGATAATATTTCCACAGACATTTATGTTATGTATTTGATCTTTGGGAGTATTTAATTTGTTACTATTTATTATGGCCCATGTAGCTTTCGACTTGTTAGATGCCTTGTTTATAAAATAATTGTTTTGACATTTTTGAGTAGATTTGATTATTTGATTTAATCGTGACGACAGCGCTACAAATTTGTTTCGATTTTGTTGAGTACGTTTTTTCCTATATTGCCATAACAGTTGCCGCTTGCGCTTACAACATTGCCTTATTCCCTTTGTTATCCATTTCGGTCTAGCCTTTACCTGTATTTTAGTAACAATCAAGGGAAAACACAAATCGTAAAACAAACAGAACAATTCATGAAACTCGTTAAAGGCAATGTTTGGGTCTTCGCTGTTAAAGACGTCACTAAAACTAAGTGAATTTATACAGTTTTTAAATTTTGCGATATTTTCTTTGCAGTAGTCTCGTTTTTCGACGTACCAGTGTTTTAAATTGCAAGTAGCTTTAACTGGACACGTAAGTAATTGCGCCGTATGGTCCGAAAGAGCGAATTCAATAACATCAGCGAAAGCGTAACAGACAGACAGACAGAGTTACTTTCGCATTTATAATATTAGTTGGGATTTGTTGTTATTTGTAGCGACAGCAGAAATACATCATCTGTGAAGATTTCATCTATCTACTTACTTAAGTAAATCTATCAAAGTTCATGAGATACAGCCTGATGGCAGACAGAAGGACACTGGAGACTGGAGTCTCAGTAATAGGGTCCCGCTTTTACCCTTTAGGTACGGAACCCTAAAAATATAGGATCAAATCGACACATTAATGACAAAAACCGTCTATCTCCTTTTAACTAACCGATTGGTGGCGTATGAAAGAGACATAGATAATTTGCTCAGTACCAACCGATTCTGTCTGGCAAGATTTCAAATGATGTCATTATTTTGTCTCCAAGTTAAAGTTATTCAGACTCGTGGGCTACTTAGTCATCATAATAATACTTTTCCTCTGTTATTGTTGACAAAAAACAGGACGTCATTTATAAGGCTCCTCTTCACAATGGGCCATGATGGAAGTGGCCTTTAGGTATACCTTGCATAACACCNGTGTAGATTATTATTTACTTTAATAATAAGTATGACTATCACCATATGATTCTGGCAGTGGAGAACAGTGACACTCCCACTCTTCTCGTGGATTTCATAGAGGTGACAGAAGGAGAAATATGCGAGCATCAGGCCTCCCCAACCTACAAAGTGGACTGACTATCATCCCGAATTCTGAAATCAACAATGCTATAAACATTGTTGTGGGATGCTATGTGAACTTAGAACAAGCCAAGCAAAGAAAATGTTGATCTCACAGGGAATCGAACCTCTGGATCTGAGTCGGGTCTTATCTCTAAACCACTGGGTGGTCTCCATGAGAACCCTTTCTTCGATTCTTAGACAAAATGGTCTCAGAACTGGAATCACTACAAATTTCTTTACCTCAAATGCCTCAGAACGCCTCGGAAATGTCTTCCAATATGTTTCATAATATCCAAGCAATATAGAAAAGGGCAAATCGTTAATTTCCAGCGCGACAAATTGATATTAATAAAATATACGAGCACTCGTCACCGTCAGCATAAAAGTATACCTACTATGAGTGCAGTTCATTATTAACGAACAAAAATTTC